TTGCATCTTCACTAACATCTTTTTCTACACTCTTAGAAGAAAGGTTCTATATAGAACCTTAAAAGTGTTAATAGAACCATTTCTTCTAAGAGTGTATTGATATAATTATATCATATCATATAGAAAAGTTGTTCATAGCATTATTATAAAACAATGTGTTTTATTTCATTTAGTTTTACATTTTAGCACTTTTAGCACACTACCACAATCTCAACTTTTTGTAAACGAACAACCCGTTTGGGAAACCCGTTTTCTTTACTTTCCTCTTTTTTTTCAACTTTGGTTTCTCCTGTCTTTTATGTAAATTGGTCTAGTTTGGTTTAGCATTTGGAGGACCATAGAGGTCATTTCATTGGCTGACCCTTTTCTACAGGGAATAAAACAACACCGAAAACAAGGCGTGTGCCAGGGGAGCGAGGTGAGGAGGTGGGCTTCGCAATCTCAGAGGTGTGATTGAAACTTTGGCAGCAAACTGAGCCAGGTGGACACTGCAAGGCCCCCAAGTCCTAACAATTTTGTCACTCTTACACAGCTCCACACCCCCGCGGTATTAACCCTGCACCGCTGGTGTCAGACATTAACAGCCTTCTGATCGTCAAATTATGTGAAGGGGGGGGGGAAATGATTGTACAACTAGTTCTTTTCCCACCCATGTAATTGAAATCTCTCTTCGGCAAAACAAGAGAGGGCATTAGTTGTGTCCTCCCAGTGTTTAGAGGAGCCACTCAATATGTGCTGTTGGCAGAAGAATAGAATCGTTATATCACAACCTTCAGTATTCTTGCCGTCAAACAAAAAGAGCCATGTGATTTTCTGAAGACATCCCTCATGTGACTGTGAAAAAAGAGAACACTGTGCCGGACAATGACGGACACCGGCATCTCTTCCATTTTCTTTTTTTTTTTTTTCTCTTTGCCTTGTTCTGCCTCTCGCTTTCGCCTCGTTCTATCTTTTTTTATCCTCCTACGTCCTGAACAAAGGCGAGAGGCTTGGTTGAGACGACTCGTGCACAAAGCAGGAAACTTTGTGGTTCAGAAGCATGTCATATCACAAAAGGCAGGGATCAGGAGGATGTGTTGCTAGGCGCCGTGATTGTGTCAGCACTGCTGGCCAGAACATTTCCTTACAGGTGAACTTTTTAATGGAGACTGACAGATATATGCTTCCTGCTATTTTACAGAGCGGCGAAGCTCGAAGCAGCCCCCAAGATCCTTTGCATCACTCCTCGGGCCAATCATCTCTGTTTGAGGTACGTGACATAGCAAGTGCCCTCCTGTAAAATCCGTCCCCATGGGATTGCTCTGTTTCTCTGTGTTTGGGCAGCTTGGCGCGGTTCAAACTGGGTTCAGGAAAGTGCACGCATGTGAGGGTACGCGAGATCTACAGGAACCCTTTCATGTACTCGGTCAGTGTTGGAGAGTCAACCTGGCACATGAATAATTGTGATATTTTTCATCACAGGCGTCCAGTGTCATTACAAACACGCTTCCATTGTGACCCGTAAAGTTGAAAGGGCATTGCCAAATATGGTTCATGACGTATATTCCTGTGTCTGTCAGCACGTGTCGCTCTGCCCAAGTTTAATTTGACCCCTTTTGAAAACAACTAATTTTCCTGTGGAATTCACATTAACTCTCCAGAATTAGGCTTGTTGATCTTTACCAAAGGTGGATGGGGTGCGGAGGAGATATTTATGTTTGTTTGACGTAAACAGAAATAAAATGTTGGATTTTTTTTTTTTTTTTTTTTTTTTTTTTTTTTTTTAAGTGTGTGTGTGAGAGAGAAACAAGAAAGAATCAATACTGTTTTTGTATCACTGACTGATTTAAACTGACTGTCTTTTTCATATGTATTAATAAACAGTCTATAGAGCTATTCAATTATTATTTTATTATTTAGTAGCTATATATAAAAAATAAAATAAAAATATATGCTCGATAAATATATTTCTGCAGATGTCACCAGTTGTTATCCCCAGCAGGGACTTCAAGCGTGGAGCAACTCTTTTTTCTTCTCCTCTGAATTGGATTTAAAGGGGTCATGAACTGGCTTTTTAAATTGTATTATATTGTTGTCTGAGGTCAACTTATGACGTTCGCTTGGTTTTTTGCATTCAAAAACATCAAAATGAATAAGTAATAGGCTATTTTGTACCCAAGTTTTTAGCCTACCTTAAAAACGCTCGGTTTTTATGGGCATCTCGCTCTGAAGACTTGGAAGTAATCGCCCACTGGTGTGAGTGGATAACAGTTTTGCATATTATAATGAGTTTCAACTCACCCGTCCATACACTTGGTGGAAATTGTTTTGAAAATGTCCATTGTTGTAAAATGGCAACCGGAATGATTCGACCCAGAGTCCGTGTGTTGCACAATTCCTTTCAGATTCAATATAGACGGCACAGCACCGTTCTTTACTCTTAATCGGTCTGAAGATGTCAAAAGCTCAAGAATTTTGATTTCTCAGTTCATCACCCCTTTAAATAACATAAAATGGATTTATGAATTTGCTTATATATTGTTTGTTCTTGTTGTATACATAGATTGTATATATCAAGAACATTGTTATTTCAGGGGTCAGAACCACTTCCAGCCGCTAAAGGGTTAAAAGTACAGCTAGACTTTGCTAACTTGTTTGTCTGCCGTAGACAGAATGGAGTCTTGAAGTAATTCTTCCCAAAGTCAAACTGTTGAAGATAATGCAACAGGGGAAATCCATAACGGCTACCCACGATTATGTATCCAGGATGTCCCATTCAGACGGACAGTGTCCTCATGGGGGAGAGGGCGGTACAAGGAGGTGAAAGGACGTGCCAAGGTCAAATGTGTCTGTGGTCTTATTTTCTTCCTCTTTTATGGGAGCAAAACACATTCCAAACAGATGGTCTCGTCGATCGAGAAAAAAGTCTTATTGTTGCTTGTATCCTAAAGGTCCTGGGGGTCACAGTGACTGGACAAATCTGTGGGACTGGAGTGGGAACATGAATGGCGTTGACAGGTGTTTAGTGATTATGTTAAAAAAATAAATAAGCCAGTTAACTGATGTGTAAAAGCTTTTTATGCCTTCGAAATTCGTCGGGGCTTTTTTCTCTTTCTGTTTTAGCAGCTCCACGAGCTCAGCCTGAAAACAGCATCTATTCTGAGGCACTTGCCTCGACGTCAGTCAGACTATTGACGCTTTCCTGTTTGATGTCTCTCCTAGCAGTAACATCAAACAATCAACAAGCAAAACCTCTCTCAGCATTGACCGAGTGTACAAAGTATTCGTTTCATTTTTCCGAGGCACTGAAGTGCTAAACATGTTTAAAGAAACCTTCACAATGCGGCCTCCCAGGAGGTATTTCGAGGCTAAACGAGGTTAAAAGGAAGTTTTGTTGTCTCAGACAATGTTGCTATCTGTCTCAATACACGATTTCCCTTTCAGTTTGCATGTTCTTTCGCCTCCAAACAATTTTCCTTCCCCTTTCATTTTTCAGATCAGGCATAGACGGCTGTTAAGTGGCAGTCAAACCAAGAAGCACCGAGTGCAAAACCGCCGTTCAGTAAAATAACCTTGCCAAAGGGTCTTTCCCCCCACCCCTAACGCACATAGCTGGCTCCATCTTTGTGTATTGAGTGAGTTAAATCAATGGCAAAATGTTGGCACTTTACACAGGACAGTGACCAGGAAGCCCTCCCCCGTGTGATTGACACTTGAAACGTGTGCGCGGACGGAGCCAGGGGCGCTGCTCCACGCTTGAAGTCTCTGCTGGGGATAACAACTG